AGAATTCTTGGTAATGCCTCCCTCTCCCCTCAAAATTATTCTCTGATTATGCCAATTAAATTCCATAGAGAGATCACTATAATCATGGATCACTTTGCCCAAAGTACTCAACCACATAATTCCCAGAATAATTCCTAGGCCAGTTAAATCAACAATCCAGAGGTCCACTACAAAAGCATGCCCTTGAATGTTCAACACAGCAGCTGGACATTTCTTTTCACAGACCAGAAAATCCCCATTTCCTAAGAACACCCTCATTTTTGGGACTTTGATCATAGACAAGCCTAAACTGATAGCTAGCTCCTTTTGCACAAAATTATGAGAGCTTCCTGAGTCTATGAGAATAGGAACTGACCTGCCATTCATCTGAATTTGGAATTGCAAAGCTCTAGGATTATGGTCACTCTCCATGGAATGTAAGGCTGCATCCATGTGATGTATGACTGATTCGATATGATCCTGTTGCAACTGTTCAGGCTGCCATACTATTTGCTCCTCACTGTCTAACACTTCTTCTTCGGATTCCCCAACCATGAACAACATTCGACCTTTACATATGTGCTTAGAATTCCACTTGTCATCACAAGTATAGCACAAACCCGAATCCCTTCGCTTCTGCAAATATTCATTAGACACCCTTCTACTGGATGCTGCAGGTGGTAAGGCTGGAAAACTTGATTTATTGGTAGGTACAGTAGATGGCAAGGTTGGAAAAGTCGGTTTGTGGTGTGGTACAAAAGAGGGAGTGGGGTTATGGGAGTCACTGGACAAGGGCTTGGAATAAAATTTCTTGGGGACAGAGGACAGAGACACACGAAGGTCAGAGTAATGAGCTTCATATGTTAAGGCTAACTGCATGGCTTGATGCAAGGAAGTGGGTTTATGCTATTGGATTGCTCTTCTTAAATCAGCTTGCAAACCAGAAACAAAAAAGCTCATCAAAACCGCATTAGAAAACTCGGTTACTTGATTAATCAAGGCTTCAAAACTGCGAATGTAATAAGTAAGAGCACCTTCCTGAGTTAATTTGGATAGCACACCTATGAGATCAGTGTATGTAGTGCCACCAAAACGTTGCTGTAAAGCAACTTTGAAATCCTCCCACAAATGAATCGTGCCTCCACTAAACAACCATTGAAACCAAGGACCTACCATTCCCTCCATTTTCATACCTTCTAAACGCACCTTGAGAGTATCGGGTATTTGATGCAACCCAAAATACAACTCCGTTCGAAAAATCCAGGACACTGGATCCCTTCCATCAAAAGAAGGTAATTCCATTTTAACAGAACGCATCACATTTCGCGAATCAGAAAGATCAAACCTGAATTGATTCTGTCCTGCATGATCGAGACTACTTGAAACTGGATTGGTTGAAGTTCTTGGCATGACGTGATCATTCATGCGAGATTCAACACCCATAATCGCTGCATGGATCTGTTGAAGCTGATTGTTGAGGTTCACGAAACTGGGTTTGATGATCAACAGAACGCTGCTGCAAGTCCTCCAATCTTCGATCAACTCGCGTCTGGAAAGAGGCTAAGTCTTCAGCTAGCTCTTGGATTCTCATTTTCAAACGGCGTGAGAACAACAATATGAAAGCACCAATGTTAAGAGCTAAGAACCCTAACAGAGACACAAAGGAGAATTGAAAAGAATTCACAGGATTGTATATTATTCAGAATAATCTTTCTCTGTTTACAATTGACCTTATATCTATTGACAACTAACTAACCGCATGCATTCTATAAAATGGACACATGGCATCACTTCCCAACTAACTGCCAACTCACTAACACCATATGACTATTATACCCCTTATACAATATTACAATGCAGAACCTCAATTATTGAATTACAACTAAACATCAACTACAAAATCCTTAGCCCACATAGGAACTCCCCTATTCCTTTTGCTGCTCGTAACATTCACGTGGACACCTCAACTTTCTGTTCTTACAGTGAAAGAAAAGGACAGATACTGAACTTTTGTTTGGATGGACCAAAAGATGTGATTGCAACATTCCTAACATGAACTCTAGTTATTTTTCTTTCGTGAGTACACTTTTGAAGTTTGGTTGCCTGCCTTTGCCTATTGTTGTCTTATTCCTTGGTGATGGTTGTCAATTTGTTATCGTCATTCGTCAACAATGAAAATGGATCATCTAACAGTTAATTTCACATGACCTAATTGATCGTTACAAAGTCCATTCCCAAGTGTTATAGTCAATACGAGATTTGTATACTTGCGGGGTCTATGAAAGAAATACTGGGCAAATCGTTGTGTATTAACAAGGCTCGAGGCTAATGAGGATAATATGTGTGTACAATAACAATTAAGAGAACATTGTATTAAAATGTGTGTTCTTGACTTATGAGTTGTTACTAATATTTGTTTGGAAAAGTTCATCATTTAATGCAAGATATTTATGGAAGGATTATAAATTATATTCTCCAAATTGGTTATATCAAAAGTCAAGACGGCAGGATACATTGATATAGCTATAACTTTTATAAACATCCATCCAATTCTTAATATATTCTCTGCCTCATAGGTTTGCCCATTTTGAATTAGCCTGGACAAATATCTTCTTAGTGCAAAATAAAGAAAATAAACACACCTGGTTAATTTATTTCAAACAAAATGTTCAATATAAATTCCCTCAATGGTTTATCAAATGGTGGGATTATTTTGGACCAATCTTGGACATCCTTCCACCTATGGTGTTTGAAGGATTAGCAATCTTTTCACAAAAATTTGAAAAGTTAGCAGATCCGTTCCCAATTGATATGCACTTCTTCTCCAAATTTTTTCTGGCATAGATATTTCCATGGCAGTATAATTATGGAGAAAAACCTAGCACCAAACTCCTATTACTTCGATGACAAACTTTTGTCAAGTTGTGGACATAATTCGATGCATCTAGAGCTTGCCCAGAAAATGTCAAGCTCTGGTTCAAACAACGTCCAAAATATATCAAACTAGCTGATCCAGAAACTTGGACTTTCGTGAATCAGAAGGCCAAAATCATAGCAGCTTTAGCCGCTTCAACCAGCAAGGAAATCTTTGCAAAAAATTTGCAGAGTATCCTCCAACTCCTTCAAGAGGAAGAAGCTAACAGTTCTAAACAGAAGACTGTTTCTCCCTCTCCATCTATCTCTTCTTCTGAAGACTTTTACCAGAATGAAGATGATTGTTTCAGTATTGATATTGCAGAAGACTGTAGTAACGCTGATGACATAATGACACGAGCATGATATCAGCAAGAGTAATGCGAGCAGTGACGCATTCAGAAGTGTCAGTTGGTACTGTGCACTTAACCTGAACTGTTGAAATAGTACTGGTCATGTAACTTGCACTGTAGCAACCGTGCTTTTTCAATCTATTTAAAGGAGTCCTTCAGGTTAAGAGTTATTCTTTTACCGAAGCACCATGGAAAAGAAATTAATTAAATATTTTTGAAATATTATGCATTCTCAATTTCTTTAAAGTAAGGAACTTCAAAACAATTTAAAGTAAAATACTTTATCTCCTTGGTAATACTATGTGTATCCTATATTTTGTTGGCAATTGTACTTTATTCTTAGATTGTAAATATGCTATTTTTATTTTTTTTGCTTTCAAATTTGTTGAAGTAGTTGCCTTAGTTCATGAAATATTTTCATTTGTAGGCATCAATTTTGGTTCCTATAATCGTATTTACTTTCTCTTATATTCTCAATCAATTGTCTCTTACAATGCACTTGCACTTATATAGAAATTAACTTTTAATGTCGAAATTTTCTATACATTGTTTGTGTGCATATAATATTTCATTAGAATGTAAACATCATCTTAATTTGAGGAGGAATGTCTGCATATATTTGCTTGTGACCAAAAGCTGTTTAGATTCAAGTGATTGTGTTACGTGCGATGATCCCATAAAAACAAGCAGGATAATTGTTGCTCTGATCTATTGGGATTTTGTTTTCTTTGTTTATAGTCATTCAGTTATGACTCATGCATTTTGTTAAGAGTATTTTCGGCGAGTATTTATAGTCATTCCTCACCGTCCCAGATCATTGCAGCCGTATCTTCGGCGAGTCTCTGCCACCAGCCTCCATCAACCACCGAGCCGGAGTTTTTTCGTCCGAAACAATCCACTCATTGTTCAAACCGCCTTCTCACAGTGGTTTTGCCTGTCCAGGACCCATTGTCAAGCCGTGTTGACATGATATAAGTTTTGTACCATCTTAACCATTTCAGCCTAGATGGCAGAAGACTGATAGCTAAAACTTGACAACACAAGATAGAAAAATTAAAAAGTATATTAAAAAGAGATTATTGACATGATATAAGTTTATCTCATAGGTATGTATCTGAAATATATTCCAGTAAACATGCTAAATTAGTAGATGTAGCAGTTGAGATAGTAGTAGTAGAAGCTACTCTGGAGATTAAGAGTTGAGATTCAAGAATGCATATAAAACAGAAATGTATATAAAACAGAAAAGAAACTAGAGATGAATTCTGATGATGTTTCATGTATGTTCTTTTGTTGTGCTTTGTTACAAATCTTTACATTGTCCCAAGCCCAGATAAAAGAGGAAGTTGTATTGAATAATTAACAATCAAAGTGAAACTTTGTAGAATCTTTATGACATAGATTGATGTATGGATGTAGTTGTGTTAATGCTAGGTCGTTACTCATAAGTTATGTGCTATCTGAATTGTGTAGTGTGTCAAATTTACAATACCTGACTGCATCAGCACCCAAATGTAATGGAAAGAAAGTTAAGGGTACCCACATTTTCATGAAGGGTGTGGGTAAAGAACCTGGTTCACAAGAGTGATTCATTTTGGAAATTGGAAAATTTACAAATAGAAGCAAGAGACAAAACTATAAATGAAAGGTTGAATAGAGAAAATCATAGTTCAATGTCAAAAACAGAAAAAACATTTGCTAGTATTGAATTTAAATTTCTATGTTTGTGTTCTACTATTATCAACACTTGTAGTTTCTATATATGTACATGGAAACAAAATGACAATAGATTATACTTTTCAAGGATTCCATAGCATGAATCTTTTCTTGCCATCACCAAGATAAAGGGAAAGAGAAAAGAATAAAGAATTGAATATCAGAATTTTGTAACCCAATACATCATGATCAGAACAGCAGTAATATCTCCAGATAAATCTTGAGCCTTGAGCACCAGCAAAGCAACAGTTCTTGGAAACCTTCCCCTTAGGATCAAGTGCTTCATTCAGTTGGATTTCTTCATTAATGCTAGAATATGTGATTTAGTACAGCTATGCTATCAACAACCTGCAGCTTTTAGAAAGTTATCGTAGGGACTTGCTGCTGGCAGTTTGAACAAGTGAGGATGATTCTGAATGGTTGCACATAACAATGGAACAGGGTCAGAATTTGGAATGTGAGAACATTCCATATTCACATCAAGGAAAGGATTGCTCACCTGCATGTTATATAATTTAATTAGAGCTGAACTAAAAACTTGTATATGTATTACCAAGGCAATAGAGCCTTAGAACAGAAAGCTGTGGGGTTTAACTTTCACTCAACACCCACACATTTTTATCTTAAATAATTTGATAACCATGGTTTAAAACTGAAACCAATATACCTACCAAATGTGAATATACATTTATGACATGTAAAACAAGCAAGATTTTCTAAATCAGGGAATTACCTTCTGAAAACCCACATCCACATGGGAAGAGGGGTCTATAATTTTCAAGTCCCCGTCATGATTTTGTAAAGGGAAGTTCATCAAACAATCTTGCTGCTGTTGGGTATTCATCAATCTGGACACGTTCTGTTTTCCCATCAGAAGTTCCTCACATTTATGAGCCATATCCTTGAAAGGCAAATCATATGCTATTGTTACAGAAATTCTCCCAGCTTGATTAGATGTGTCTGAAACCTATATTCATAAAGTGCAGTGTCAATATCCTTGTTATTGACATGAGAAGATCTTCAAACACAATCTAAAACATAAACCATTTATGGGGTTTAAGAAATGGGTAACATACTAATTCTAAAAGTTTATTAGCACTCAAAAGACTTGGGACCTCCATGGACAATCCTGGATTTTGTTTTATTTGACTGTCAAATAAATCGGGGATACAATCATCGTCAGTTGAAACTACTGAAGCATCCTGTACAATGCAGAAGTAATTTACATCAGTCACCAATCACAAACATATAAGCAAGAAACAAAATATGAACAGTCTTCTGACAAGACCCGTCGTCACTTGAAATCGACTTGACACACCTTTTCTGGCATATCCATGGTCATTAGGGATCCAAGTTGACACAAATCATCTTGTGAGAATTCTTTTAGAAGCTCCTCCCTTATTGAGGATAATTCAGACTGCACAAAAGGTAACAGGTTTATGGTGTATAGAAATGAAAATATTTTATCTTCTTCCGCTGACCAAAATATATTGACTTTTATATAACAAGTAGAAGCTTTACTTCTGACAAATTTACCAAGCTCCTGACAATTTCAGAAACAAAGAACTCCTGATCTTCGTGTTTAAAAGTCAGTAATTCTGAAAGTGTGTCCAAGGCCCTATCATCATCTTCTTTGGATCCATAATTAATGGTCAGATTGTCAGTTGCAAAGCTGACAGCTTGTAACTTGTGATCTTCAATCAAATGAAGGAAAGGGTCAACCTGAGTCCAGAATATGAAAACATTAAGGAAATATAAGATTATTTACTTCCAAGAATCCCATAAAGAACTAAAAATCAGAAAAGAATAGAAAAGGACCAGTTTTTGCAAGCAAAAACTTTCGCTTGTACATAGTATTTAATTGCTTGAGACATCATTATGATCATATAAAAGGTTGAGATGAAAAACGTTTTTCTTATTACTTAAGTTTAGGGTTGACAATTCGTGTTGAGAGGTCGTGTTGAGGTCTCACACAAACAAAAATACACTCAACACAATATAAATAGATATTCATATCAAAATTTTTTTATATATATATATATATATATATATATATATATATATATATATATATATATATATTGGTTTGCAAGTTGACACGAGACACGACATGATTGGGTCACAAATTGCCACCGCTTCTTAAGTTCTTCATAAAAGTGTCCCATAGATCACATTGAATATGGTTTTAACACTTCAAAAAAGGAATACAAAATTGAACGGGAAGCAAAAAACACTTCAGAAACAGCTCACCTTTCTGTCTGTAAGCACTGCCTTGGCACAATGGACAAGAGGGACAATGTTGTGCGCTTTTGAAGAAAACAGAATCATTGACGTTGCCAAGGTAAATAGTGATCTACGACGTGATGGCGGCAATGGCCCTGCAGTAAAATGTAGGAATTAAGAGCTGAAATTACATAAAGCAAAAGCATAACAACATTTTTACACCCACTCTATATTGAAATGCCTATGGTTTCTAGTAAAATGGTCATCAACAAAAATAATTTTAAAATGCTATTTTATGTTGCAAGATGCTTGTTGTAATTATAGGGATTTAGGTACATAGGAGGAAATATAGAGAGAATAAGGACTGACTATTATGTATTGATGTGACATGAAGTGATACAAAGGAGAAAGTAATAAGCCCTATTTATACTAATGCTAGACTCCTAAAATAAGGAAACAAAACTCAAAATATAAGGAAATATGAAAACTATTCCTCAGAGATCATCTAGAATACTGTAAACTGTTTTAAGATAGAATCAATACATTATACGAAATATTTTAGATTTTCTAACAATGCCTATGACAATAATTAGTCAAGAACTAACTTATGTCCTGTTATTCATTAAACGTACTAGTTTCTTAGCAATATATCAATCACAATCCAGCATTTCACATTCAACTGAATGCCATAATTGCAGTTCACATGTTGTTAGGCTTCAAATCTTTTTATAAGAAAAGAAAAATTACAAATGTGAGGACTTGGAAAAAGGAATTGTATATTGAAATTGTATTAAATATGTACAAGATGTTCTCTATTTAAAGAGATTAAGTGACCTAATGGGCTAAGCCCCAAGAAGCTTCTAGAATAATCTAAAGGAATAATAAAGATAATTAAGAAGCTTCTAGAATAATTTAAAGGAATAAAAATAATTATTTACAAATATAATTATTTACAACATGAGGATAAGTAACTTTAAAACATAAACATAAGCCACAGGGTGAAAGAGCACAAGAGCAGACCCCACCCCCAAAAGACAAAAGAATTTGCTTAATGTTCACAAGCAGGATCCGTTGAAAGAACCTAGGTTATGCACCAAAGAGAAGCAAGATACAAATTCCTATCTCAAAGAAAATAAGCATTATTGCTCTGTCCTTTCAAGAACATAAACCTAAAAAGAAGGCAAAAGATCAAATGTCAATAAAATTTTCTCTCCTTCCAGAACAATTTACCAAGAAATTTTCGAACCATAGGGCAGACACTAGCTTCTTAAAAAGTACCAAATAATCTACACCATAAACTTCAAGCCTTTGAGCAGTATAAAATCAATGCTCACAAGCACCGCAACACAAAACCTAAAATATGGTAAGTGTTGTAAATATTAATATTATTTATTTATTTATTATTTGTTGTATTGGGCTTAGCCCATTAGGTCAAGTATTCTAGGTCTTGTATTCTCTATAAATAGAGAACCTTTGTACAAAGTATTTACACAATTCTATAATATATTAGAATACCTTTTTCAAGTTGGTATCAGAGCTCTCGATTCTGAGGTTTCTGCTTCCGCAAATCACCATCTTTAAAAACCAACCCTATTTGCCTCTCGCCGCCACAAAGCCGCCGCCGGAAAAAAAATTTCGGGGACCTTTTGGACCGTGAGGACCCCTGTTTCACTCCGTTTTCTTAGATCTATCATTCTACAAAAGTTTCTTTTTCATCAGACGACCGGAACAGCAAAAAAAAAAAAAAAAAACGCGGTACTGTTCATCGGGTACTGTTCACAAAAAAAATAAAAATAAAAAAATTTCCTGCTTGTTTTTTGTCTCCTCTCCATGGATCAGCTTAAACCCGCTATTGATAATATGTGTAAGCCATATGACCGTTCTTTGATCTTATCTGGTAAGAACACACATTCTACATCTCTTCTTGCTTCTTGTACTGATTTTAAAACCTCATGGATTTTGGATTCTGGTGCAACTGATCATATGGCTTGTCGTACTGAGTTGTTTTGTTCTTATCATCCTACTGTTGGTAGTCATACTATATCCGTAGCTGATGGATCGCATAAATCAGTTATTGGTTCTGGTAACATTCAAATTCAACCTTCCTTGTTTCTTAAGAATGTCCTTTATGTTCCTCAGCTTTCTACTAATCTTATCTCCACTCAAAAACTTACAACTGATTTGAATTGTTCTATCACATTTTTTCCTACTCATTGTGTTATTCAGGATCTTACCACGAAGAAGACAATTGGAGTTGCTAATGAACAGGATGGGTTGTATCATCTCCTTCCAGACCATGCTAGCAAAAATCAGTTATTAATGACACGTCATCCTTCTACTGCAGAGTCTATGATTTGGCTCCATCACAAGCGTCTGGGGCATCCACCATTTAGTCTTTTGAAGTCTATGTTCCCCTCTCTGTTTCTCAATAAGTCGGTTGAGACCTTTCATTGTGATGTTTGTGAATTTGCAAAACACCATCGAGTGTCATTTCCTTCTAGCACTATTAAAAGCAAGGAACCTTTTTCTCTTATCCATTCTGATGTTTGGGGCCCTTCTAAAGTGCACAGTGTTTCAGGTGCAAGGTGGTTTGTTTCTTTTATTGACGATTGTACTCGGGTAACATAGATATACTTGATGAAAGACAAGTCTGAAGTACCAGAGATATTTATTCGGTTTCATCACATGGTTGAGACTCAGTTTGGTAAAGGTATTAAAAGACTCAGATCTGATAATGGTACTGAGTACGTCAATCAACGCCTGTCACAATTCATTTCAGACAGAGGTATGATTCATGAGCTCACATGTGTTGATACCCCTCAACAAAACGGGGTTGCTGAAAGGAAAAATCGTCACCTTCTTGAAGTTGCTAGAGCACTACTTTTCCAGACATCTGTTCCTAGTTCTTATTGGGGAGAAGCAGTGTTAGCTGCAACTTTTCTGATCAACCGTTTACCTTCACGGGTCCTTAACAATATCAGTCATATTCATTCCATGACTTCCTTCTTTCCTTCTGTTCCCATATTGCAGAGCCTTCCACCAAGAGTGTTTGGATGTGTTGCCTTTGTCCATGTTCATAAACAACATCGGAGTAAGTTGGATCCTAGGGCTCTTAAGTGTGTCTTCCTTGGTTATACCCCTTATAAAAAAGGGTACAAGTGTTATCATCCACCAAGTTGAAATTTTTTTGTTTCTATGGATGTCATCTTTCAAGAATCTGAATCTTATTTCCTGGGTCCTCATCGTCAGGGGGAGAACAGTTCTTCAGAAGACTCGTCCCCCTCCTTCTTTGAGCCTGGATCAGTCTTCTCTCTACTTAGTGTATCTGCTCCTGGTGTGTCAGAACCTTCAAATACACCTGAGATACGGAAAATTTTGACACCTAAATTGGTATATCAGAGGAGGAAACAACCCATACTGTCTCACTAGCAACCTCAATCGTCTGAACCACTGGTAAGTCCTGAATCTCCTGTTTCTTCTGAGTCTCCTGTTTCTCCTGAATCTCATATTTCTGATCATGATGTTAATACTTCTGATGAGTTACCCATTAATGTTGATTCTGATGATTTGCCCATTGCTCTTAGAAAAGGAAAAAGATCTTGTCACAAGAAAACTTGTTCCTCCTGCCCCTCTTGTACTCAATACCCTATCTCCCACTTTGTTTCCTCTGCTAATCTTTCTGTGCAGCACAAAAACTTTGTTTCAAGACTAGATTTTATTGCAATTCTAAAATCAGTACATGAAGCCTTGAAAAATGGGAATTGGGCTCAAGCCATGCAAGAGGAGAAGAATGCGTTGGAGAAAAATAAAACATGGGAGGTTATTGATAGACCCAACGGAAAGAAAGCAGTAAGGTGCAGATGGATTTATGCCCTGAAAAATAATTCTGATGGCACTCTTGAGAGATACAAGGCTCGATTAGTCGCCAAAGGTTACACTCAAACCTATGGCATTGATTATGAAGAAACCTTTGCTCCAGTTGCAAAGATGAATACGGTGAGAATCTTGTTATCCTTTGCTGCCCATTACAATTGGGATATAAATCAATTTGTTGTGAAAAATGCTTTCATCAATGGTGAGTTAGAAGAAGAAGTCTACATGGAAATCCCGCCTGATTTTGATTCTGTGAAGGGGAAAAATAAAGTTTGTAGATTAAAAAAGGCCTTGTATGGATTGAAGCAGTCACCTCGTGCTTGGTTTGGAAGGTTTACTAAGGTTATGATGACCTTAGGATACAGACAGAGTCAAGGAGATCACACTCTTTTCTTCAAGCACTCCCAAAATGGGAAGCTTACTGTGCTCCTTGTATATGTTGATGATATTATTATCACAGGTGATGATTTTGTGGAGAGACAGATTCTGCAGACACGGCTTGCCTCTGAGTTCGAAGTCAAAGATCTTGGGAAACTGAGATATTTCCTAGGGATAGAAGTAGCTCATTCAAGCAAAGGAATTTTTATCAGTCAGAGGAAATATGTTTTGGATCTTCTCAAAGAAGCAGGAAAGCTCGGGTGTAAACCTTCTAATACTCCTATTGAGCAGAATCACAAGATAGGCTTTGAAAAGGAGAGTCCTCTAGTTGATAAAGGACAATATCAACGGCTAGTTGGGAAATTGATATATCTGGCCCATACTAGACCAGACTTAGCTTATGCTGTTAGTGTTGTCAGTCAGTTTATGCATGATCCAAAGGAGAAACACATGCAGGCAGTGGAGAGAATTCTTCAGTATCTTAAAGCTACTCCTAGTAAAGGACTGTTATTCCGGCGAGATGGCAATCTCTCTTTAGAAGTCTACACTGATGCTGATTATGCTGGATCTGTGACGGACCGTCGTTCTACCACTGGTTATTGTATGTTTCTTTGTGGTAACTTGGTGACATGGAGAAGTAAGAAACAAGATGTGGCTGCCAGATCAAGTGCATAGGCTGAATTTCGAGCCATGGCTCAAGGCATTTGTGAGTTACTATGGCTGAAAATTATACTTGATGATCTCAAAATAAAATGTGAGGGACCAATGAAGCTGCTATGTGATAATAAGTCAGCTATTTGTATAGCTCATAATCCGGTTCAACATGATCGGACTAAACATATTGAGGTCGACTGCCATTTCATCAAAGAGAAACTTGATAGCGGGTTGATTACCACACCCTCCATTCCCACCGGGCGTCAATTAACTGATGTATTGACAAATGGACTTCCTTCAGATAGATTTCAAGAGCTTACTAGCAAGCTGGGAATGATAAATATCTATTCCTCAGCTTGAGGAGGAGTGTTGTAAATATTAATATTATTTATTTATTTATTATTTGTTGTATTGGGCTTAGCCCATTAGGTCAAGTATTCTAGGTCTTGTATTCTCTATAAATAGAGAACCTTTGTACAAAGTATTTACACAATTCTATAATATATCAGAATACATTTTTCAAGTGTAAGAGCCATATAAGCTCTTCTTAACCACAACAATTAAATGTTTAAATATCTTGGTGATTATTGTACATGTTTGTGCCTAATTGAGGAGCTATTTTAGGTGTTTTCTTATATAATTAGGATTGTTGTTATTGTACTTAGCGCTTCTAATAGTATAAATATTGCCTTGTTTCGTCTGATAAGAGACACATTTTATAACAACCCGCATCAGCAAGGCAAGCAATAATAAGTCAAGAGTACAAGAATCAAATGAATATGAGAATGTGCTACAACAGGTAATTTAACCGCTACAACAATTATGCAAAAACCCACACTATTAAGTGATTTAATTGGTATTTATGACAAGTAAATCATATAATTAATATGATAATATGAAAAAGGATTATTTTGGTAATAAGAATGGTAAAATTAATATAAGCTTATGATTTAGAGCATTCTGACACCTTTCGAGAAAAAAAAATGTGAATAGTAAAATTCTACCGGGAAAAGTGTTGCTATGAAAATTATCGGAAAAAACTCTGAAAGGAGGAAATTATGTAAATTATGGCATAATTATTAAATTATGTTTTTGGGGTTAAGTTATAATTGGTTTAAGTTAGAAATGTTATGTAGAATAGAGTGGAAGTCAAAGTCAACTCAAATGCTCACTCACTTAAGTGACATGGCAAGGAGAGAGAAGGCATAACATCAAAATTCATCTTCTCCTTCTTCCCTCCAATAGAAACCGTGACCATCTCCTCCTCTTTATGGTTTGGGTTTGTTTCATTCCTTCTCCATTTCCATCTATTTCCATTCATCAAATCAAGAAACACTTAACATGGAATTTGTTCCTTTGCCTCTAAGGATTAAAACCCACCCACCATTTCTAGTTGGGAAGTATTGGAGTGAGAGATCTTTCCCCTTATGTAGCTCGAGTTACTGTTCACAAAGTGAAGAAGTTTGGATGATTTTGAATGATTTGAAGCTTGAAACTTGAAGCATTGGTTATATTGAAGCCATTCAAGGTAAGATAGCTTAATTCCTATAGTTTAATGCTTGGTTACATGATTCTTTGTTCATGAATATATTGGGGAGAAAGCCATGGATTGTGAAAATTGAATTTGATAGTGTAATGGTATGTTTATGAAAGATTATGGTCATAGAGTATGAATGCAAGTTTGGATGTGTTGGAAATTTGAAAATGGTTTAGAAACACTATAAATGATTTTCGGCCAACCTATGATTTTGGGGATTTGTTATGTTAAATTCACATGATGGATATAATAGGCTTATGGTGTGTTGTGAAATTGATTTAGATGGGATAAATCATGTCAATGTTGCATGAAATTTTGAAAATCCCTCTTGACTTGCCTAGGTGTGCCTTCGGCCTATACAGTGAAAGAGAGACTTGGAATTGTGTTAATCTTCATTGATTGATGGAAGGATAAAGTTCAATGTAAGAATCCATTGACATTTGTTGGAAAATCCCTTGGTATGCCTATTGCATGCTCTCGGCCTTCTTGGCCTTTTGTAGGAAAAAAATTGTATTTCGTGGATTGAATGAGATTTTGGTGGTACCTTGGTGTCTGGTATATATATATATATATATATATATATATATATATATATATGAGATAATACCTTGATTATATTTATTTTTTTTTTAACTATGTAATATGCCTAGTGTTATCCTTTAGACTTATATATGAAAGTGGGCTTAATGATCATAACTATGAATATTATGATAATGATTAATGCTAAGAGTTAAAAAGTTAAATGCTATGTGAATTGAGGATCCCATTAATTATTAATCATGGAATGCCAAAGAAAAGTGCTAAGTGCCTAAAGGTTAAGTTGTGGGATTAATATTTGATAAGAGTATAATGACTATAATTGTGAGTACGGTTGGGGAGTTATAAATAATAAACATTCTTCAATGTAATTAGAACATAATAAAGTATGAAATGGACCTTGGCCCTCCTATAGGCATGACATGATCTTGTATGGGAAAATGAGACAAGAGATGAGTTTTAATTATTTAACTGCTATAGCAACTAATTGTGGGCTAAGTTAAAGTAGTATAGTTCAACCCTAAGTACATGGACCTCGGGCTTAATGAAGACATAATTGGGTTTTAGGGTTGTTTGAACTATAAGTTTGATATATGGGCTTAATTAAGTGATTTGAATAACCTATGGGGTGTCTGAAGATTTTGAACCCTAGATGGACCTTTATGGTCACTAGTTGGACAATTGCTTGTGAATCAAGTAAATGAAGTACATAACTAGTGATAGGGGCTAATGAGAGCCCTAGGTTAATTTGAGATTATGTAAGTTGTAAGTTGTGTCCTTGCACATTCTAATGGGTTAAGTTATGATGAATTGAGGTGTGAAAGGCAAATGGTGCCTAGACCTATGGCTTCGGCCATATATAGGCATTTGTGGGCTTAGAGACTTTGTTAATTATCAATTGGTACCTAGGATACACCCTTGGGTCACTCCTAGTGTAGCTATGTAAGTGAAACCATGTGGTTGCTTGTTCCACAAATAATTACCTAGCTATAGTCCTATATGTTAAGTTTTGAAAGGATTAGTAAGGACTTTTTATTAACATGTAATTGGTATATGAATATGTGAAGTAAGATTATGATAAGGTGAAATGACATTAAACTAATTGGTATGTCATATATGTAAAGTAAAGGAATCATACAAGTGTGAATATCTTGAAATTATACTTGACGATTGATCTATTGAATAAATATTTCATATTGATTCCTTCTCTAGGTCTATATCTAGAGACTCTGTGATTGTGGATCAAAGATTGGAAGGGGAGTTTTAGCTTTCTTGCTAAATAAGTAAGCATTTGGTAAAGCTTCTATAAGGTAAGCTCTATGTTTAAGGAGTCTTTTCCTGCTTAAGTGCTCCACCATAGTTAGTGAACTATGGTTGGATTGTATGATTGTTTTGATACTTTGTATAGATGCATTCATATAGAGCTATTCGATAACATGATATGACTTGTTCTGATATGATTTCTGTATTGATTGCATGGTACACAGATGTCTTCTTGGGGTTCCCCTGAGATTGACGGTGTACGTCTCTGATATGTTCTGGTTCCGCTTGGGGTCCTTCCTTGAGAATGACTGCGTACACCTCTGATAAGATATGTATAAGTGCTTTGTTCTGTTATGATATCTGTTATATGTTGCATTGGTATACTCCGTATCTAACTTTCATGCAAGAGTGGGCCCAGGGTATGGAGAATTCTCTATAAACCTGGAGCTTATTGAGATTTGTTATCTCACCCCGTTTGGGGCATCATTTCAGGTGTACAGATTTCAGGTGAGCCTTCACGGGGCAAGGATATGACCCGTGGCAAGAGATGTCGTAATGGAGATGTGTATTCTGGATGATTCATCATCACTGTGTAGAGACATGATCTTTGGGTAGCATTATGCCGCCATTATTCTGGAGGACATGTATTATTGCTTATTCGTGTTTTATTCAGGTTGGGATCATGATGTCGGATCCATTATACTATATATGTTTTGTGCATTTTCTTATTTTGATGCACGTACATTGGTGTACTCAAGCATGTTATATGCTAATGTAGTGTTCAAATATGTGCATGTGTTGAGTCATGTATGCTGTTAGACTTTATGGCACAGAGCCAATTATGCATGCGCCCATGGATGGGCATTAGGTCTGTTGTTGGACAAGATATGATTATATGATATTTTTAAGACGATATCAGGTATGGATTATGAGAGTGGGTTTAATCCCCATTTGTTCGGTTTACAGCCGTTACGCTTTCCGATTTTAGACTCTGTTTGGATTGATACTTCTTGTCATATTCGGATGGTCAAGGGCCATTGCGTATGGTCACTGATGAAAGATGAATGTTTAGAAAAGGAATTATGATGGATAAGAAAGAAAGGATATAATGCTATATATTATGCGACAAGAAATAAAGAAAAGAAGGAAAAAAGTTAGCTCGTATTTTTGTAAGCTAATGCAAGATTATAAGTTAAGTCTTCCGTTTATGCATGTTTTAGTACCATAGGATGTTAATTGAACCGGCTCGAGACGGGGATGTTACATATTTCAGCATACACTTCCACATTTTAAGTGTAACAATCAACATTCAAAAACTATATAAACTTGAACAAGCAGAAACATAACATACGTTGGTTAAGCCATGCCTACCGCTGACTGTCTCAAGCAAAAAAAAAACCATGTGTCTGTCCATAATAGACTGGATATTATTCTAGGGGTAATCAAATTTGTTTCATGAAAATTTGAGCTCACCTCCTTCTTTAAAAGAAATATTCCTCAAAGAAAATGCAAGCTGAAAACTCCGAACTAGGACCTCATGAAAAGAATTCTGCAAGACAAAATAAATTTGTAGAAGTTTGTCAAAGGAAAAGAAAGTCCCACTCATGAAAATGGAAAGAAGAGATTGGCAAAAATGGTGTAGACTAAACACTTGAATCATGCAACATGAGTGTCCAATTATTACCTTAGCTCTAGAAAATAGCAGCATCAAGCTGTATGTATGAGCAATTGCTTCATAATTTGCAGGCATATTTTCAGTAGAAATAGACTGAGCCCAAATTGATGATAGCAAGAGGTCTATCTGATGGCTACAAAGCCTGAGGGAAACAGCTTCCTGTGTTCAAGTAAAAATGTTAACCACGATACGAAACCAAACCCAAGCTAACATAAAATGGTACACTAAGGTTATAGTAGGGTGTGTGTCACCCATATTACAACTATAGGACCATAGTCAGATCCTTAGTGTATAATCATCATTGCAAGACTTACCAAGTCCCCATTAGCATTGTTTGTAGTAATTTCATCTACTGAAGTATGTTGCAGGGTGTTATTCACATTGTACACCTGATTATAGGTTGACTTCAATCTGTTCAGGATTCCGCCATCGCTATTAGCTGGTACAACCTCTCCAGCAATGTTATCTTTATTATATTGACTTGGATTTTCACTTGAAAAACGTTTCTCCTGTCTTAGCTTATCAAATAAGGCAGCCGAAGAAGAGAAAACAGACACTGCTCTTGAGAGTGATCGTGGAACACCGAAAGCTTTGGGCTCAAACACAGATAAGGATAGACGAGGGAAAAAAGAGGTTGGCACTAGTACAACAGAAAAGATGCAGTGAGCTCCCACTCGTGTTTCATGATCTGGATGGACCATAGTCAGGAGTAGTTGATGAAACAATGCCTCGGGGAATGCCTGAGAAAGTAAAGAAGGGTTTTAGGAGTGAATTCAGCCATGAAACTCAAAGTAGCTAAAAAATTGAGGAAAGAACTAAGCCAAGAATATTCACTCCTTGCCTTGCTCTTGTAGGACAAATTTGGTAAGGAAGCTACAATTTGAGCAGTTCGATAGACAGCAGAGACTGTGGTTCTGGATATTATTGCAATATTTGAGATTTTCTCTAACATCACAGCCATAACATCAAGAATTGGGCCTGCTTCTCCAACCTGTTTGGGATCAGCATCTTAGTTCTCTTCTATTTTGATATATCTAATAGTATAACAGCAATATAGCCAATAACTTACGTAAACCATAAAGCTTTTTAAAATTTGAAAGACAACATAAAATCAACAAAATTAATCTTTTAAAGCATTTATGACTCAATAATTCTCAAATTTTAGGTATAAACTTGATTGAACGCAGTAAAAATATGTGACACCTTATTTGACAACTGTTCAAGGCACCTATCCACAGCTTCCCTGAAATTCTTGTTCCAATTGATTATTTCAGTGCCCATATCTGAGTCATCAAGGGAATTGTGCATGCTCTTCCGCAAATGTCTCATTATATCACTTACTGCACCAACTATTGCTACAGAAGGTCGGACCTTTGCATATTGAGCAAGTGAACTGATCACCTCAACAATGTCTAGCTGAATGTTGGGTTGTTTAACTACTAATTTACGATCCAGATGCTTTACTAATATTGACAGTAAAACATGTGTGTTTTGCCCTGCAATACCCAGGATGAGGAAATATGAAAGACAAGTCAGAAGAGAAAAATTAATTAACATTATATCAAGTCAAATAAGAAAAATAGTATACCAGAATCATCCATTAAGAATAGCATATCCTTTAAAACAGAAAAGGCAAGACCATGGTCTGCAGACCATAAATTTCCATTGTCAAAGTATTGGAATAAAGATTCCAATACACGACGAATGGTAGTACCCTCCTTGGCTAAGTTGGCCATATTACGCAAGCAAACCCTGGACCAAAATGATGGATTCTTCGCATCCTCCCTGCAGGAATTTAGGAAACACAACAAATTGATAAATAATGGAAGAAACATAAGATATCAAAGAGCCATTTCAAAGCTTTACTGCAAAATAAGTAAATCAAAAATTACATTGTCACATTTAATTCGCCTTTTTCATTCAAAATATTACTCCAGGAAGGAATGCTCTTTTCAACACCTATAAAGGGAGAGATGTGACCCTCATTTTTCAGCACTTCTTGGACCCACATATTCTCAGGACCTCTTTTTCCCTCATGATCGAGGCTTTCTAAATTTCTCAAAGGATCTCTGTAATTTTCCAAGACAACAGAAACAACCTGTAATGAAATAGAGAAAAAAAGAAATCACTACAAATCAAACAAGATATTCAATATTATTTAATTCAACTAACAATGACAAAAATCATGTGAGGACACAGTTACAAGGGAAAAGTCAGCCACACTAACTAATCTACCACTCACTGAACAAAAGAATACACAACGATTTGATATATTAAATTCTTCAAGAGAGAATGAGATAGAATCTAAAAGAAGACATACAAATTGGGATACCCTTTCCCTACTAAATATAGTGTAATATTTTGTCAATCCCGAGAAAGATGCACTTGCTGTAGGGATATTACAAAATTATATAGCAAATTAAGTATATAAAATTCCATAGAGTATAATACAAGCTCCAGACTCCTTACATTGATTTGTCCTATATAATTTCATAAAATGCAAGGAACTTTCATGTAGCACTATTGAAATAAAAGTTCAAGCATATTTAATAGCAATTTACGTAGACATGAGCATGGTGTAAGTCTGAATCCCAACAGATATTAAAAAAACAAAATCATTTATCAAAAAAAAGGTCATTTTCAATTCCCAAGCAAAATTACCATGCTTGAAATAATGTTCAGGCATCAAATCTCGATGAACCTACAATGCCTAAGGCGGTAAGGCCAAAGAGAACAATTATTATAGTTAAATTTTTCTTAAATAATAAAAACACTTTTTTGGTAAAGAATTACAAAATGTGTTTGAGGAAGTTTTCTAGTTATAATGTTTGGGGTAGTTGTGGCTCCCTCTTAAGCTTTGGCATGTGTTGGAACAGTTTTGTGGTTTTTTGTGCAGATTTTTATGGCCTGCATGCACTGGAGCTTTGATGAAATATAAGACAGAAATGTTTTTCATATATTGATTGACACCCAAAGGGTTCTATAAATACAGATTACAAGGTAGTTAAGGAGTTGAAGTAATAAATAAAAATAAATAAAAGTACACAACAAACGAAGAGGCATCACACTAATCAAAGAGACTAGACTCTAAAAAAGACTCTAGAATATTCTACACTCCCCCTCAAGTTGGGAGATATATATTGATCATCCCCAACTTGCTAATTAAATCCTCAAAGATGGGTTTGTGTAACCCTTTGGTGAGAATGTCGGTTGTTTGCTCCTTGGTAGGTATATATGACAAACATACATTACCCTCCTCCAATTTTTCTTTGATAAAGTGACGATCAACCTCCACATGTTTGGTTCTATCATGATGTACAGGATTTTGAGCAATACTGACAGCAGCCTTATTATCACAATAGAGTCTGACAGGTAGAGAATAAGATATCTTTAATTCTTCAAGGAGTCTTCCTAACCAGATTCCTTCACAAATGCCATGGGCTAGCGCCCGAAATTCTGCTTCTGCACTGCTTCTGGCAACAACAGTTTGTTTCTTACTTCTCTAGGTCACAAGATTTCCCCAGACATAGGTACAATATCCTGAAGTGGATCTTCGGTCCATTGTAGAGCCAGCCCAATTAGCATCTGTATAGATTTCTATCATCCTCTTGTGTCCTCTTTTAAAGAGCATTCCTTGACCAGGGGTGTTTTTGAGGTACTTGAGGATTCTATAAACCGCACTAAGGTGTTTTTCCTTAGGAGAATGCATGAATTGGCTAACCATGCTAACTGCAAATGCAATATCAGGCCGAGTGTGAGATAAGTAGATCAGCTTTCCTACCAACCTTTGGTACAACTCCCTGTCAACATCTTCTCCATCTTCAATTCCCAATTTAATATTGGGTTCAACTGGAGTTTCTGCAGGCTTGCACCCAAGAATACCTGTTTCTTGTAGCAGGTCTAGGATATATTTCTTCTGAGATAAGAAGATTCCTGCCTTGCTACGAGCAACTTCCATTCCAAAGAAATATTTGAGTGATCCAAGGTCCTTTAGTTCAAACTGATTAGCTAAACCCCCCATTAAAGATTTTATTTCCTCCCAGTCATCACCTGTGACAATTATGTCATCAACATAAACAATGAGGATAGCAATTTTACCACTATCGGAGTGTTTAAAAAATAAAGTGTGATCAGTCTGAGCTTGGATGAATCCTCTTCCTTTAATAGCACGAGTAAACTTGTCAAACCCTCTCTAGGGGATTGTTTAAGTCCATAAAGAGACTTCTTCAACATGCATATTGAACCATCTCCCTCCTCAAAACCAGGTGGTGGATCCATGTAAACTTCCTCATGTAAGTCCCCATTTAAGAAGGCATTCTTTACGTCCAATTGATGCAAGGGCCAATCAAGGTTGGCAGCAAGTGACAGTAGGACTCGGATAGAGTTAAGTTTGGCAACGGGAGCAAACGTCTCCTGATAGTCTATCCCATAAGTCTGAGTAAAATCCTTTGGCAACCAATCTGGCCTTATATTTGTTGATGCTGTTATCTGCATTAAATTTTATTGTGAACACCCATTTGCAACCTACAGTTTTCTTTCCTCTGGGAAGTGCCACGGACTCCCAAGTTCCATTTTTTCTGGGTGCATCCATTTCTTCAAAGACTGCATCCCTCAATTTAGGGTCATTAAGTGCCTCTTGGATATTTTTTGGTATTTTTGTACCGTCTAATATAGTGTTGAAAGCACGAAAACCTGAAGATAACTTTTCATATGAAATGTGATGAGAGATAGGATGAGCAGTGCAAGATCTAGTACTTTTTCGAAGGGCAATAGGCATATCTAGGTTAGCTGTACCAGTGTTCTCAAGTGGATTGCTGGAACTAGGACTCAGGTAAGAATCCTGGCAGTCTAGAGGATCTTGAGGAGATTTACGCCTGCTGTAGAATTTTCCCCATTTACCGGGTAGATCTCCAGTCTCTGGTGCAGTTGCTGTCCTTGTCTCCTGTACATTAACTCCCCCTTTCTCCAAAGGTAAAGGAACAATAGATGTTTCCAAGGGTAAAGGTAAGACAGTAGAATTATTTGGAATCCAAGACTTGTCTTCATTTACAACAATAGACTGCCCCTGAAGAGAAGTCAAGGGAAAAAATGATTGTGTTTCATAAAAAGTAACATCCATAGAAACAAATACCTTTCGAAGAGAAGGTGAGTAGCACTTGTAACCTTTTTGATTAGGAGGATATCCTATGAAGACACATCTAACAGACTTAGGATCAAGTTTGGACCTTTGATGTGGAGGAATATAAACAAAAACCACACAGCAAAACAATTTTGGAGGAAGGTAAGATAGAGCCCGAAAGGAGGGAAAAGAGCGGGTAAGGCAAGATATAGGAGAATGAAAATTCAGGACACGAGAGGGCATTCGATTGATGAAATATGAGGCAGTCAAGACAGCCTCCCCCCATAGGTATTTAGGGACATGCATTGTAAACAAGAGGGCTCTAGCAACTTGAATGAGATGTCTATTTTTTCTTTCAGCCACCCCATTTTGTTGAGGGGTGTTAGGACAAGAACTTTGATGGATAATACCTTGCTTGGTTAGGTAATCACCAAGAACAGAATTGAAATATTCAATACCGTTGTCAGTTCGCAGGATTTGGATAGAAGTCTGGAATTGAGTTTATACCATAGCATGAAAGTTTTTAAAAGTGGCTGCAGCTTCAGACTTATCCTTTAGAAGATATACCCAGCATACTCTGGAATGATCATCAATGAAGGTAATAAACCAACGAGCTCCAAATATATTTTTTTCACGAGCTGGTCCCCAAATATCACTATGAATCAATGTAAATGGAGACGAAACATGATAATCTCTGGGGGAATAAGAAACACGAGAGTGTTTTGCAAATTGACAATCATCACAACAAAAGGAACTTGGTTTTTTATTGATAAATAAGTTTGGAAACAGCTTTTGAAGATAAAAGAAATTTGGGTGTCCTAAACGACGATGCCACAACAAAACATCATTACAATCATCTGATAAACATAAAAAGTGATTTGCAAAAAATTTGTTTTCATGAGAATCTTCTTCAAAATAGTAAAGTCTTTCTTCCTCTCTAGCACTGCCAATCATCAGCCCCGAATCCTTTTCCTGAAAAACACAGGTTTTGGAGGAGAATTTAGCAACACAATGCAATTCAGAGGAAAGTTTACCAATAGAAATAAGGTTACAAGTAAGAGAAGGGACATGAAGGACATAATTCAGAGTAATATGTTCAGAGAGCTTAATGGATCCCTTTCCCGCAATATTAGAGAAACTACCATCAGCAGTCCTTATTCGTTACTGGTGATAATAAGGGGTATAAGAACAGAACAAGGTTGCATTACCTGTCATATAATCAGAAGCTCCGGAATCAAGAATCCAACGAGTACTACGATCAACATGGAATGCCCATACCTTGTTCAGCAACATGGCTAGTTGCCTCAACAGATTGAGACATCACCTTCTGAAATTGCTCATACTGAGCTTTAGGGATGAATACACCATCGGAATTTGGAGAGGCACGAGACTCCTCACCCTTATCATCAGAAGAGATTTGATAAGCACGACTCTTGTTCAGCCCCTTTGTTTTCCAGTTTGTTGGTTTTCCATGAATTTCCCAACATTTTTCGCGAGTGTGACCACTCTTATTGCAATGAGAACACCATCGATCAGAACGTTTTGCATCACTAGGGGGACGAGGAGTATGTTTTGCTACTAAGGCAGATACATCGGAGGATTTAGAGTTCTTGTCTCCCAACATTACCTTTCGGCGAAGTTCCTCTCGTCGTACCATAGAAAAAGCAGCTGCAATGGAAGGTAATGGGTTCTGACCCAATATCCTACCATGAACATCATCAAGATCACAATTAAGGCCAGCAAGAAAATCATAGAGACGTCTTTTCTCTAAGTAACTCTTAAACCTTGCATTAGCTTCTAAACCTTGAAGATCTGCTGCATCATAAAGATCCAACTCCTGCCACAGAGTTTTTAAAGCAAGAAAGTATTCAGTAACAGACATCCCCTCTTGATGTAACTCTCTTACCTTGGTGTTGAGTTCAAAAGCCTGAGAAGCATTGCCCAGGTCAGAATAATATTCTTTAACGGCATCCCAAATTTCCTGAGCCGTATCAAGAAACAAATAAGTTTGACTGATATCAAGATCCATGGAGTTAGTAAACCAGGTCATGACCAAGGCATTTTCAGTCATCCATTTATCATAATCAGGTTCATCAGCTTCGGGTTTTTCCTTTTTTCCATCAAGATACCTCATTTTCACTTTTGCTTGGATAAACAGCTTGACAGATTGATGCCATTGCACATAATTCTTACCGTTTAAACGGTGGTTTGTAATCTGGTTGTCTCCGGAAGACGAAGAATAGGGAGGAGGAGAGACACCGGAAACTCCACCGGATGATTTGTCAGAATGCTTATTCTCAGCCTTATTATTTTCATCTTCCATTGTTCAAAAAAAAAAAAAAAACACAACGTTCAGAACAAAGCTTGACGAGCTTGACGAAGAGGAAACAACAGGACCCAGCAAAAAAAGTGCTCCAATCGTGATTTAAACCCTCAGAACAGGAAGAGGGAGGCCAGGCGAGCTATTCTGTGAAAGCCGCGTGTCAAACGGAGGCCGGCAGGGCGGCGCGTAGTTCACATGCGCCGGCGAGGCTGCTCTGCTGTGGCGGCGCGTGGCTGACTTTCCGGCGACGGGGCTGACGTGGGTCGACTCGGAAATGGCTTATGAGTCCAGTGGTGGCCTTGGTTTCGTGATTGGAGTGGTCCAGATATGTGATCTGGGTTATAGAAGAATAACAGTGAAAAGAAAAATGGAAAAAAAGACGTCGAGGTTTACAAGATGACCACAGGATAACCTGCTCTTGATACCATGATGAAATATAAGATAGAAATTTTTTCATATATTGATTGACACCCAAAGGGTTCTATATATACAGATTACAAGGTAGTTAAGGAGTTGAAGTAATAAATAAAAATAAATAAAAGTACACAACAAACGAAGAGGCATCACACTAATCAAAGAGACTAGACTCTAAAAAAGACTCTAGAATATTCTACAAGCTTCATTGGTGGTGCTTTCTTTACTTGTAAAAATAAGGGCCAGAAAAGCCAATGGCCATGTCATAAGCACAGCAGTATTTTTCAAGGTTGCCCCTTGAATTTGAAATATTAGAAGAAACAATCCTTATAAATGATAACTCAAATGTTTGGGAGGGGGCAAAACTCAAAAGATGGTTTGGGGAACTTCATTATAGCATTTCCTATTCATGGGATGGGATTGTCAGAGTTAGTGTATGCAAATGCCCACATAGACAGTGACAGAAGAATGTGGCTCTGCTTCTGCCCTAATCCTCATGTTTTTTTGTTACCATTTATTGTCTGTCACTTAAATGTTAATGAGAGTTATTATAAAGTAATAATCAAACCACATAAAATAATATCATTCCCAAGTTGCTGTAATCAATTAAAATTTTAAATTCTCTCTAAGGGAAAAAGCACGAAAGCCACAGTCAGCATGCATGAAAAAAAGCTATATAAGTAACCGTAAGATTTGAAGATGTAAAGATCTACTTACATTATCAAACTCAATTGACATGTGAGAGTGTTCACCCATATACTGAACCTGCGAGAGAGTTTAGATCAGTTAATTCCAAAGGATATGCATATAAATCATATTACACAGAAATTTTCCTTATTAATGCATTAGAGATTGACAAAGAATTAACATAGAAAGTTAACCTAAGATGCTTCACACTTTGGACAGTTATAACAGAGAGATGCAATTGCCCCATTGTAAAAGTAGTGGAAAAAAATGCAATCAGAAGAGTCAAAACGATAGAAAACTGGATCAGAAAAATATGAGTTGTATTAAAATGTAATTCCATAATGATCTGATTCTAATATTAATATTGTGCCAGCTCATATATGGATTACACTAAAAGGAAATTAGCAAAGAAACTAAAAAAAAAAAAAAAAAAAACTTAAAGAGATAGCCTAGACTCTTTGAAGGGTTCGTTCCTCATTCCCAAGATTCTGACTAGAACATTGCTTGCCTCATTCTTCCCTTTCTCTCCTCTATATTCTTCGCCCTCAACATTGAACATATTAACTACTGATTCAAGCCTATTACTGCTGATTTCCAAAGTTGCGAATAACTCATCAAGAGTCAACACTGAGCAATCCATTTAAGCATTTTACACACTGTCTCAAATACAGCTTTCCTTAATCACTCTTTGTCAAAATACAAACTGATCAGGTTATATAAAATAATTTTAATGAGATCCAGTTATAACATGTCATTTGTTGCTGCATTTGATCCAAACCCCTAAATGGACAAAGTAAAATCTGTACACACAACTATTTCGTTTAGAATATCTACATAATATTTAGAAGAACAGAATAATTCACAATATATTTGGAGAATTTATATTATTTTAGGGATAACTTTGTTACCTTGTTTGAAGGGAATTTATCTTGTTAGGAAACTTAACTTATTCTCAGAGATTTTATCTCATCTTTAGTTAGTTATTTGTTCCTTTATTAGATATAACTTATTCTTAGAGATTTTATCTCATCTTTAGTTAGTTATTTGTTCCTTTATTAGATTAGGGTTAGGAGTTTACTAATTAACCTAATTCCTAGTTTAATAGGGGTTAATGCATTATCCTTTTTATCAAAAATCAAGTAACAATACATAAGAGAGAGAAAATTATTCTAGTCTTTTTTCTCCCTTTTCATCCTTTTCTACCAAAACACTAGATTTTCAACAATTTGAAAAGTATCATGTTGTACAAGTACCAAGATTATAACCTTGGAGCATTTCTTAATAGGGATTAAGGAACTAATAAAAATACAACTAGATAAAATTATGTCAAAGAAAAACATAAAACTCCAATTCATGTCCAACCATGAATCTTATAATATCCCTAACCTAATTAAATAGTAAATTACATGTTATTAAGTAAATTGGCATGTATTAGTGAGTTAAAATAGGTAAAAGGCCTAATTAAATTAATTAGGGTCACTTTTGAGGTAAAAAGTGTACTCAGTGAAAATTAAGGGGTATAAATGGGTGTGGGCAAAAGTACCCAAAATATAAAAATGGAAGTGGAAATATTCCTAGAAAAATATTCCAGACACTTGGGTAAAGTTTGGTGATTAATGGAGTTGAATAGATAGATGAACCAATACTCACTTTATTCCACTTAACCAAAGTTAAGTGACCATGTCATAAAAGAACCCCAAATCCCTCCCATTCCCGTCGACAACAAGAAAAGAAAAGAGAAGAAAGAAAGAAAGAAAGAAAGAAAGAGAGGAGGAGAGGGAGAAGAGAGAAAGGAGAGGGAAACCCTAGCTCCCTCCATTCTTAACCTTTTTTCTTGATTCAAAAGCCTAAACCACTTAGATTCTTCCCCTCATCCTTAATCCTAGCTTGGTTCTTAGTGGGGAGTGGTGTGTTGTGGGATTTCTCTCTCCAAAGTTTCGACCCATTTGGAAAGTGGAGAGATTTGTTGGCTTCTACCTCCATGGAAGCTTGAGGAGCAACCTTGCCTTGTTGTGTGATCCATGGTGGTGAGTTTTCCACTCTCTTTCACACAAATTCCTTGAGTTTTGCATGATTTAGGTTTTGATGAATAGTGTTTTAGGGTTTTATGGTAATGTGAGTAGATTGGCTATGTTCTAGGAAGATTGAGACTTAGTGTATGTTGTGAAAAATGCTAGGAAGGTTAAATAAACGGTAGAAATGAGTTTAGATTGTTATTTAAGCTATGTTCAAAATCTTGGAAAATTCATGCTTGAAATATCGAGTTTCTTGCATTGTTGAGCTATGGCTTGGATTGGTTGTGTTGATGGTGTCCTTTGTGTTTATAGGATTGAAGCAAGAGGAACCACATTGAGTGACCAACCATTAGTGGAAGCCATGGAGCTTGAGTAGCTCATTTGGATTGGGTGTGTTGGTGATTGGAAGGAATTACCAAGTTGAGATCCCAAGAAGGATTGTTGGATAGGTGAGCTAGAAGAAAGCTTGCAAAAGGAGGGAAAGCATTAAGAGGTAAACCTTTGGATCTTGGAGGTTAATCCCTCTTGTTGTTCCACCATTGCTTTTATGGAAGTGATGGTTTATGAATGGATGATTGAGTGGTAATGTTAGTATTACGGTATGTTTGCATTCATATAGTATTGTTGTGTCATTGGAGAAAGGGCCAATGGACAAGCACTAAGGGCTAGGTTGTATGCTTAGTGGAAAGGACTAAGATGCAACTGAAGCGTGTGTGATGATTTGATTGTTTAATTCTGTGGCCATTTGAATGCATGAGTATGCTGTAATTAAATCATTACTGTTATTGCCTCTGGATATATGATGCATTACATGCCATGTGGATACTAACCCTTCATGCAGGAAGTGAACTCTGGGGTTGGAGGAGCTCTCCAAGAACCCTGGGTTTATTGAGTTTTATCTCACCCCGTGTTGTGGGGCATCATTTCAGGTACGGTTAGAGGTGATGTTGACAGAGGCAAGAAGCGTGAGTAGATGGTACCTGGAATATGATATTTTGAGATTCCTTACATGTAGAGATACCATGTATAGGACTTCTATTTGAAAGTCAATTGTCATATGTATATTATGCTTTATTGGATGGACTTAGCCTATGCTCATCTCTTTTGGTACCTCTTTTGTTGTTGAGAGCCAAGGGATTGAGCATAGTTATTTTGTAGCTAAGTCCCATGAATTGTAATTAAGACTTGTTGTAATTAATGAAGATGTATGTATGATGAAATGGTATGCATGCTTCTCCTAGTGTATGAGTACTTTGAAAGACTAGAATTCATGCATTGAAAGAATGATATGATTGTCAATTAGGTGAAAGAAGACCTCTAGGTTGAAAATTCAAGTAAAAGTAGAGATATACCATCTTGTTGTCCAATTTTCGTATCTTATATGATAGATTTGGATCCTTGTGTTCTCATGGAAGTTGTAGATCTTTTTCTTAGCTTTCCATAGAGACCAAGATTGTGTAAATTGGATGAGTAAAACTCAAGTTATGAGTAGAATACCATAGGAGGTCAAATTGTCATGTTTTGGGTGTTTGCTGCAGAACATCCACGCTCTGAGCGTGAGATTCACGCTCTCAGCGTCAACCTATCTGTTTGCCCACGCTATGGGCGTGGGGGTCCTGGGAATTTTGCACCCTTTTCTTAGAAAATGCGTAACTTGAGCTACGATGCTCCGATTTGAGCGCGGTTTGAAACCACGCATAGCTAATGAAAAATCCTATAACATATTAGAAATTGGAGGCCATAAAATTAGAATAGGAATTTCTTAAATAAATAAACAATGGATGCGTTTAGTTTCTAAAAGCAATTAAAGTGGGACTTACAGTGATAATTCCACATATAGTTGAGTTATAATCACAATACAGGGATTAATTTAATTACGGAAATGGATTTTGAACAAAAGCTTTTATAAATAAAAAGGAAAAAAGGTTATCCGTGTTTTAATTCAATCTTGAGATTGTAACTGCGCATAATGCCGTACGTAATGATAACAATCCGGTTCTAGAACGGGGTGTTATATTTTATGGTATCAAAGCATTTTTGTAGGGAAACTTGTGGACTATTGTTATGTATATGCTTGGTGTTTAATGCTTTATAGTTGTTTTGGTACTCTTTATGATTATTGCATTTGTGATCACTAAGTATGAGCCTGATCAACTCATTTCTTTGTGTAACATAAGTAGTGACATGACGAGGAACCTGAATAACCCTGAAACATCGAATGCCAATGCTCAGCCAGACTGTTTTGGCTGCTCTTGTTAGGCCCTGAAGTGGCCGTGGGGCAACGGGCGGGCAACCGGATCTCGTGGCTGAAACTCTTGCAGCCGTTCAAAGGGAGTTAGCTGCTAGCCGGCAAGCCAATGAAAATTTGTTGAAGAGAAATGAAGACTCACATAATGCCATGGCCGTGATGATGAACGAGTTGAGGACGTTGAGGGGTGCCAGACCTGCAAACCGACAACCCACTCCTCCTCCTCACACTGCCACGCCTTCTCCACCTCTTTTACAAGAAGAGGCTGTAGTGGGTAACAATGAGGGTGAGGGTAGTCACCATTCTGATAGTCACAGTCAACATGTTGAGGTTCGTCAACCACGTGTTGAGCATTTTGATGAACGTGAAGCTGAAGAAAGGAGACTGACGGTCTTTCGAAAACACAAACCACCTTCCTTTAAGGGAGGCTATGAACCAATGGCGGCAGCAAAATGGCTCCAGGCAATGGAGAAGATCTTCAGGGTGATGAGATACCCTAATGCAATGAAGTTGGTCTACTCCGTGTATATGCTGGAAGAGGAAGCTGAGGATTGGTGGACCAATACAGTGCAGCCCTTAGAAGCTGAAGGCCGGGAAATCACCTGGCGGTTGTTCAAGACGTTATTCTTGGACAACTACTTCCCTAGGGAGGCTAGGGAGCAGAAGCAGAACGAGTACAATGATTTAAAGCAAGGGTCGATGTCAATTGACCAATATTTTGCTAAATTCAACGAATTGGTGAAGTACGCCAACTATGGGAGAGCCTTACCTACTCCGGCCGAGATGACCTCTAAATTTCAATGGGGTCTAAATGAGAAAATGTCTTGGAAGATGTCTAATTGTGATATCCGAGAGTTTAGCAAGTTTGTGAACCAATGCCGGAAAGTAGAAGAAGTTTATAATGTGGCAAAGAGCAAGAAGTCTTCTGGGACACAAGCGTCAGGTGCTAGTGGAGCAACTGACTCTACTTTAGAAAAGAATAAGAAAATAGATGACAAGAATGGAAAAAAGAAATTGCAAGCGAAGCAATCTGATGATTAATTTAAGAGAAAAGCCAACCAAGGAGAGACAGTTGTGAGTGAATTCCCCCTGTCTAAATGTGACACATGCGGGAAGACACATAGAGGCACATGTTGGTACGGAACAAAGTCGTGCTTCAAATGTGGCCAACTGGGTCACTTTGCTAATGTATGTCTTACTAGGACTGATCGGATTTCAAATGTACACGCAATTGTTGGATCTCGAGTAGGAGGTCAAGATTATACCTTAGAGCCACATGATGGGGAGGAAACTCTCAGGCAAGTTGAAGGTATGATTTGAAAATTTCTTTCTTGTAAATTGTCCACCCACTGTAATGATGATAGACATGTTGTTGCATAAAGTGTAATGCATGCATGTGAGTGATGTATTCTTGATGATGCATGCAATGTCTGTGAGAGTGAACATTGTGTTTAATTGACAGATTTGACGTTAGTCTGATCAAGTGGAGCATAGGCTCTATAACCACAAAAGTTAAAGTTAACAAAAGAATTAATGAAATGAAAAGCTAGAATTATGGACCAAACTGTAAACCTCTAGGTTTAGCTTACGGCTAAAAACCATTAGGAGGTGAAGGTATAACAAAGAAAAGTAGTCTGATAACATGCATAGTTATGCCTGATTGTATGTTAATGTATTGAGGCAAAGAATAAAAGACTATTGCATGAGGGTGTGAAAATGATTGTTCTTGTGAGTTTATGTTATATGAAATTGCATTTAAGATGGATGTGAATTATTAGCTTAAATTCTCTAAATAGGAGAATAAATGGATATGGGGCTTTCTTAATGGAATAATTCCTAAGAGTAGTGACTCTTGGAAGCACCCAGATAAAAATTTGTTTTAAAAGAAATGTTTCCCTAAGAGTAACTCATGAAGTGAGAGGAAAGATGGTATGGTTAGTGAAAGGGACTAATGTACCATTGAATGATAAAATCATCAGTGAAAGGACTGGTGTGTAAAGTCAGTGAAAGGACTGATAAAATCATCAGTGGAAGGACTGATGTGCGTGCCAGTGAAAGGATTGGTGCGTGATATTAGTGGAAGGACTAATATCTAAGTAAAAGTTTATGTAAGGATTGTACTATCAGTGAAAGGACTGATAGGGTCATCGGTGAAAGGGCTGATAGTCCTTTATGAGTGTAGTTAGTATTATCAGTGGAAGACTGAAGCACTGATGTTTCAGTGGCATGGTATTATCAGTGAGAAAACTAGTGTACAAATAAATAGGAAAGTTTACTATCAGTAAGAAGACTGAGGTACTAAAGTACAAGTAGATGGTAATATTAGAAAAATGACTAATATTAGATTGAGAACTTAGAAAGGGTTCACAGTCGTAGTGAAGGGACTAGTTCACGAAATGGAAAATTTTGTGAGGTTTACTTTTAACACCCTTGTAATGATAAAACATGAGAAAATTGAAAGGAAAAGAACTTGGAGTTGATAGACAAGAAAGATAAGAGGTAATAGGTTGATCAGGTAAGACCATGGTAGTTTATGGTTTCGTACCAGACAGAAGGATAGAGACCTTGATAGGGTTAAAATAAATAGGCTTGAGGGAATCAAGTATTACTTATAATCTCAAAGGTTTGCACCTAGTGGCAAGGTGTGCATAAGTATAGTGGTAAAAACCATTTTGATGATCGAGATTCAGTGGGAAGCCAGAAGGCCTGACCTGTCCAGTTGGTAACGGGGAGAACGAGTTCCTCTGGCGGTAGCCCGAGTTCAGGAATAGGTATGTTCCTGATTTTGCGGACAAAATCGCTAAAAGGTGGGGTGAATATAATATCTCTAACCTAATTAAATAGTAAATTACATGTTATTAAGTAAATTGGCATGTATTAGTGAGTTAAAATAAGTAAAAGGCCTAATTAAATTAATTAGGGTCACTTTCGAGGTAAAAAGTGTACTCGGTGAAAATTAAGGAGTATAAATGGGTGTGGACAAAAGTACCCAAAATATAAAAATGGAAGTGGAAATATTCCTAGAAAAATATTCCAGACACTTGGGGAAAGTTTGGTGATTAATGGAGTTGAATAGATAGATGAACCAATACCCACTTTATTCCACTTAACCAAAGTTAAGTGACCATGCCATAAAAGAACCCCAAATCCCTCCCATTCCCGTCGACAACAAGAAAAGAAAAGAGAAGAAAGAAAGAAAGGAGAGGAGGAGAGGGAGAAGAGAGAAAGGAGAGGAAAACCCTAGCTCCCTCCATTCTTAACCTTTTTTCTTGATTCAAAAGCTTAAACCACTTAGATTCTTCCCCTCATCCTTAATCCTAGCTTGGTTCTTAGTGGGGGGTGGTGTGTTGTGGGATTTCTCTCTCCAAAGTTTCGACCCATTTGGAAAGTGGAGAGATTTGTTGGCTTCTACCTCCATAGAAGCTTGAGGAGCAACCTTGCCTTGTTGTGTGATCCATGGTGGTGAGTTTTCCACTCTCTTTCACACAAATTCCTTGAGTTTTGCATGATTTAGGTTTTGATGAATAGTGTTTTAGGGTTTTATGGTAATGTGAGTAGATTGGCTATGTTCTAGGAAGATTGAGACTTAGTGTATGTTGTGAAAAATGCTAGGAAGGTTAAATAAACGGTAGAAATGAGTTTAGATTGTTATTTAAGCTATGTTCAAAATCTTGGAAAATTCATGCTTGAAATATCGAGTTTCTTGCATTGTTGAGCTATGGCTTGGATTGGTTGTGTTGATGGTGTCCTTTGTGTTTATAGGATTGAAGCAAGAGGAACCACATTGAGTGACCAACCATTAGTGGAAGCCATGGAGCTTGAGTAGCTCATTTGGATTGGGTGTGTTGGTGATTGGAAGGAATTACCAAGTTGAGATCCCAAGAAGGATTGTTGGATAGGTGAGCTAGAAGAAAGCTTGCAAAAGGAGGGAAAGCATTAAGAGGTAAACCTTTGGATCTTGGAGGTTAATCCCTCTTGTTGTTCCACCATTGCTTTTATGGAAGTGATGGTTTATGAATGGATGATTGAGTGGTAATGTTAGTATTACGGTATGTTTGCATTCATATAGTATTGTTGTGTCATTGGAGAAAGGGCCAATGGACAAGCACTAGGGGCTAGGTTGTATGCTTAGTGGAAAGG